CCCCCTGCTCCCCCCACGTGCCCCACCCCCTGCTGCTGTGCCTTCAAGAAGTCAGGACATTTTACTAGAGATCCTTTTGAGGCTGGCGACCAACCCAGAGTCTTCTGAGCAACAAACATCCCACGTGGAGAAGTTCGGGTCGCCTAGGGCCACGAACCCGCACCTTAGAGATACACACTGCTTCCCGTCGCTGGGCCCCACGCAGTGAGTCTAGGTCAGCAGAGCGGGACGGCCTCGCACAGGCCAGGCCATGCTCAAGGCCAAGCCCAGGGCCTAGGCGGGCGCTGGGGCTGTTGGCCCATTAACCCCGGACTACATACGCTTCTCCTGGGGATAGTCAGCTCGGTGCTGGCGTGGTCCAGGACTCCTATGTACAGGTTATCCAGGAACACCTGCCGAGGAAAGGGGAGCCCTGTTAGGTCCCCGCAGGGAAGGGGTGGGGGCCTGGGAAAAGCTCAGAGGAGGACAGGCTCTGGGGGAGGCGACTGCTCTGGCCCCCAGGAGGCTCCAGCGGCCACGGGTTCACAGAATTGAGCGCATCCCAAGCGGCTCAGCCGGGAGGCCAGTGAGAAAGCCCTGAGACCAGACCGGGCCAGGGCCCCGGCGGGCGGAGGGGGGCGGGGACAGGTGCCAGGCCTGCTGGGAAGGAGGGGAAGGGGGCGGAGAACAAGGACGCTGAGAGACAGGGCGGCCCCACCCTCAGCTCTGCGGCTTGTCCATCAGATGTCCTTTCAACGTCATTACCTTCTCAGGGCGGCCCTCGCTTGTGACAAATATCTTAGCTTTATCTGTAATGAGTGCCAGCCGGCTCTGCTCACTCAGTTCTCTAAACACCGCCGTGTGACACGCAATGTCCCGGGTCGCTGCCCACGTGCATGGGGGCTTCTGAAGCTCCCCCAGGTCTCCTCCGAGGAGCCCGTCAGCACCAGCAAGGGCTCAGTGAGGCCCCTCCCGGGGACGTCCACACGCCTGACACCTAGGAGAGCAGGAGCCTACGTACAAAACGTCATGGAGGGACAGAAGTGAGGAAACAGAGAGGACTTTCTGAAGGTCAGAAAGAGATCTGACTACCGTTGGACATTCAGCAACACCACGGGGTTTTACCAGCAGAGAAGTGCAGCTGGGACCCCCCGCCGTCCCCTACCTGACCCCGATCTTGAACATGACCCCTTGAGGTGAGGAGGCCTCCGCTGGAGATGGCGGTCTCATAAAGTATGTACCCGGACGACTGCCCACTCCCCTGGTTCACGGAGAGCTTCTCCATGGAGACGGGCTTGGCAGACCGGGTGGGCTGCGGCAGAAACAGGAGTAAAACCTGGGCTAAAGGTTCGGGCTGGAGAGGAAAATTTTAGAAACTCCCACTGAAATCCGCTTCCCCAGAGGAGAAACCCCGAGCGTCTCAAGCACAAGAGTGAAAAAACGGGGTGTGTGTAACGGTAAGTGTCACACATAAACTGCCCTCTTTAATTTCCACGTTTCCTCATGTTTCTTTGCACGTGCCAGCCAGTGATGCATTCTTGTTTTTCAGACGGAGAAGCTGGAGTCAAGAAAGTGGAATGTTTTGAATGTGCTCAGCAGTTCACGAAGGGCTGCACAGCCCCAGCCCAGGGGCAGCTTCTGCCCACCCTCGGCCCCCTCTCCTCCCTTTCCCAGCTGAGAGAGTCACCCTGTGCCCAGTCCGGCTGAGGACGATCACACATGGACCACTCAGACGGCGCTGACTCTCCATGTCCGTGGACCCTCCTGCCCACTGGGATCCTGCGTCTGAGGGTCCATCGATGTTCCTCTCCCAGCACTTACCCATCCCACTCTTTTTCCTCCTCAAACAGCAACACCAACACCCATCCAGAAAGTGGAAGTTTAGCCAGTGTCTTCCCTCTCCCTCGTCCTTCACACCTCCTCCTCCAGCCACCACCTCCTCAGAGTCTGCCGTTGGCACCTGCTTCATGGACCCTCCTCCCCACCCATGATCCCGGCTCAACACCTGCAGACTTCTACCTGGTCTCAGGGCCGGAGCCTGGTCCCACTCTAATCCGTCCCCATCTGGCGGCCAGGGAATCCTTCTGAAATGCGAGAGGGTCAGCTGATCCCCATCCTGCTTTAAAATAGCTTCCCACAGCTTTCAGAGAAACGTTCCAATTTCTTAGCACAAAAACACGGCCCTTCAGAACTCCTTAGAGAAACAGACGGCTCCAAGCCGGTGGCACCACACCACCTGCAACATCCTAGGGAACCAAACAGCAAAGAAGATCTCAGAAGCTCCTGGTGTCGTGTCAAGAGGACGGGAGCCAACTTAAAGGAGCTCCCGCTAGTCTAAAATGGGACAGTGTCAGCATCAAGAAGAACGGCTGCCTTGGGGCAGAAACACGTTGAATGTGTTAAGATGTGTGAGTTTATCATCAAACAAAGAGCGGTAGAGTCAAAACAGCTCCCTGGCTTCCTTCAGAGCCTATCCAAGAACACGCTCGTTATCATCCTGCTACACGAAAGCACTCGAGCTCCGTCCCGACTGTCCCGGGCAAACTGTGCATCCAGACACCAAGACAGCCGGTGAAGGAAACGCTCGTCTGCGTGGCCGGCAGCTGAGTAAATGCAGAAGGGACGACAGGCAGACAGTGCCACTCTGCAAGCCCCTCTGAGACGCTGGGTGCAGGCAGGTGTCATCACAGCCGCTGAAACCGCTAGGCAGACGGTGACGGGAAGATGCATAATGAACAGACCGGGGCCTGACTCCACTGACGCATCACAGAAACAGAAACAGCCAGCCACTCGGCGCCTCGGTGTGCACACAAGCAGTCCAGCAGCACCACCGACGGAGCAGAGCTGCAAACAGTTAAACGGAGACCACCACACCCAACTCCATCTCGCCAAGCATCTCTGTCAGTTCACAGAAAGTGCAGGGAGTGTAAGCGCCTGTCCCCAGACACGCGGGGACTAGTGAGCCCAGAATGACTTGAGACTCAACTGAGAGCAGCATGTGACTGACCTAAATCAGCTCCTGAGGCAGACAACCCGAGGCGCAAAACTGACGAGACAGCGAGGACGCCTGACCGCGGGCTGTGTGGTGCACCAGCTCGGGGGCCAAGCGGACCCGTCCCCTCCCAGCTCTGGGTTTCACGCGTCCCGTGGGCAGCCTCAGCTGGCCGCAGTGGGGCATCTGCACCCCAGAAACTGACAGACACTGCTCGTCAGAATTCTTCTTCCAGGGCGTCAGTGGTGAACACGTCCCTGGAGACACTGACGACAAGGGTCCTTACAGTCGCCACCACCATCCCCGTCGGGGGTGATACTGATTTGGTTGTGTTTCTCAAAAAGAGTCTTCATCTTCTGAGACACATACTGAACTGTTTACAGCTGAACTGTACGATGTCTGGAATCTGCTTTAAAATAATCTTGTAACGAGTGGAGGGTTGGGGGAGAAAGGGTGTAAATGAAAAAGACTGGCCAAATAGCGATCAAGCGGAGGCTGGGTGTGGAGCACACAGGGTCCACCGCTGTTCTGTCTGCTTTGCTGCATGTTTTCAAAATTCCATAAGAAAAAGTTGAAGACGAGACCACAAAGGCCCCAGTACCAGGCTGGCTCCCTGCCGCTGTGGCCCCACAGGCTTCCCCCCAGGCCTCCCTGCAGTTTCTTCTGTGCCCCCCGAGCGGTGTCCACGGTGCACCAGCTCCCCCTGCCCCTCCACCCTGCTGTCCCCTCACTAGCTCCTGCTCATCCCTGGGATCTCAAAGTCACCGCAGGTGGACACGCTCTCGGGTCTGGTGGCCGTCAGCTTCCTGGCCGCATCTCTGTAAGAACAGACTGCACACACTGCTCACTTACTTTGTGCCAAATGCAGGGTTTGCTGTTCAATTTACACAGCTATCCTGACTATCAGCCTCATTCTACAGGTGAGGAAACATAGGTAGAATGAGGTTACACGGCCTCCCTCAGGTAAACACTGGGCAAGGACCAAACCCAGTGTGGCTCCAAGCCTCCCTGACGATGCTGGCTGCCCTGGCCCCTCCTCTGGGCCCTCTGACCCCACCTCTCCTCCACTCAGCTCTCCCACCGCCCAGACAAGGGCAACTTCCCAGAAAGGCGGTTCCGAGGCACTACAGTTTAGTTAAGTGTTGTGTGAATGACTCTGCGGTTTCCTCTAGACCAGTGGCTTCAACCTGTGCCCCTCTGGGTCCTCAGGGAGAGTCCAAAGTGGCACATGGACCATCCCAGAGGAGGAAACTGCCCCCGACTCAACCTCGCTTTACGGACTGAGCTTCGCAGCGAGTCTGAAGGAAGAGCCCCTCTGCCAGGATGAGCGCGCAGAAACGCTTGCCCTGGACCCAGGCCCTGGGCTCCATCCCAGTCGTCCCCAGAAGGCTGAGGCGGCTGTGGAAGGCAGTGTCCCCAGGACCCTGAGATGTCTGCAGTGTTCTTCAGGTTCAAATTTCCCAATCTGAATTCTGAATCTAGGCTTCTTATCCTGAATTGTGAAATTAGGAGAAGGAACTGAAACCTCAACGACTCTTTCTGTTCCCAGTGAGTTGCTCCCTGTTCTTTGAGCGAAGCCTCTGCCCTGTCACCATCCATCCCACAGTTCGACACCCTGGGGACTCTCACCTCATCCAGGTAAGGCAGGGCGTCCCACAGTGACATGTAGTATGTTGCTGTCACTGGCTTATACACAACCCTAGGTCGAGACTCTGGTTGCGGGGGCCTGTGGACCTCTGCAATGAAAAACAGGAGGCGGAGCCCTTCCAGGATCCTACCCCAACCCGACTCCAGGGCCCAAGCCCCCTGCCATCCCACAGCCAAGAACGAAGGGCCGGTCCCAAGGCCTGCCTGCCCGTGTCAGGGAGAGTCAGAGGGCAGGCAGCAGTTGCGCCACAGGCTCTGAGCAGGTGCCCTGCTGTCCGGGAAGTGGAGGAGGGACATCGCTCCCTCCTCTGGACCAGTGGTCCTCCACCCTGCCTGCCCATCCCAATCTCCCAAAGTCCAGGGGGAAAACACAAGTGCACAGATTCTGCCCTCTTCTCCCCATTTCAACCAAGGCACACTTGTCCAGCAGCTCTGGGAAGAGCCTGGTGCCTCTGGTTTTTAGAAGTTCTGCAGGATTCTGACGTCCAGCCCCAACTGAGCAACGTGACCCTGGAGGTGAGGGCTAGAGGGCGGATCCCATGCCTCACGCAGACCTGAATCCCCAGCGCCTGGTGATAAAACACACTGGGGCAGACTGGAGGTCCCCTGTCCCGCCCAGGGAGGGCATCTCTACCCATCCCCTCCCCTCTTCATAGCACAGAGACCACGAGGGGGGCTGAGTTACCGTTTGGATTGAGGTTGTGGCTGGGTACCGTAACAGAGCGGAGAAGCTCTTGAAATGTAACATACTCAGGTGTATAATCTCCATCCTCTGTCAGCAGTGCCCCATAGTCTGAAAAAATAAAGCAATCTGTCATTTTCCCCGAGAAAGCCCCAGCTCCAGCAGAGGAAGGGGTGACAGGTGACACTTAATTCTTCATACGGCAGCTCTGCAGTGGGAGGAATCTTTGAGCATTAGACTAGAAAATGCCAAATCCTAGCTAATCTTAACCAGGTGACCCCGCCATGCTTTCCAAGGGCTTCAACCAGAGGCAAAGGCATCAGTCCCTGGAGGCAGCAAGTCCAGCTGACAGCCCGAGACACTCGGATCCAGTGGTTTCCCCTCCCGTTCAATTTCCAACTGAACCTCTTTCTTTCTTCACCATTCATGCTCCCCTGGGTGTCTCAGAAGAGCTGCAGACTCAGGGAGCTCCAGGAATCAACGCCCACCACCCGGCGTATCAAGAGTGCCAAGGAGCGGGTTCTGCGGGGAGCACCCTATGAGCAAGGGTTTGCAGGGTAGAGTGTCAGGCTAAGCTGGCGAGTTCCCTGCCGGCAAAGTCCCACAGCCTGGCTTCTGGTTGTGGATCACCTCCAGTTCTGTTGAAAGAAGCAAAGGTCTAACCCTCCACCCCCACCACCAGGAGCTAAAGATGAAAAGACAGGCAGCTGCAGGGGGCCAGGACTTGCCATAGCTGGTGACCGTGGGGAGGTAACTGTGCAGGGGAGCAGATCCACCCATGAAGCCAAAGTTGGTGCCGCCGTGAAACATGTAGAAGTTGAGGGAGAACCAGAAGGCGAGCATCTCACGGGCATCTCTCATGACCACTGTGCGCGGCAGGAAGAAGCGAGGGGGTTCATGTTGGCGGACAGGAATTCCCCCTGGGGATCCTGAAACTGCGCTACTGAATGCCTGTCTGTGCGCCCTTGTCTTATGCAAACGTATGTCCAGCTCAGGGTTTCTGAGTGGTTCTCAGGGTGCCCAACCTGAAGGCATGGCACCAGAAAGATGTACCTTCAGCCACACTTTCATGATCTCTGTCACTCGCCCAGGAAGGACAGGGCAGGTCATCTGGGGCCAGATAACATTACGCTCCACCTAACGTGTTGTCCCTGAAGGGCCCTGCCTCTCAGAACGACTCACTCGAAGTATTTTACCAGCCTCAACAAAATACTGCCATGCTGGAGACCTGGCTAATCCCGGTGACTGTGGGGCGCCCACTTCTACGTCGTCATTTTACCTGCACAGATGCCTGCAGGGGGCTATCTGGCCACACTGACACCCAGAAAGCTGCAACAGCCAGCAGCCGCGTCCCCCATCGCACAAGTACTCTAACCAGCGGGGAAAGCGGGCGGGTGCCATGTGCGTCACATCCTCTCCTGAGGAAGGAGCCACGGAGCACTCACGATGCGGGTCCAGGCTGTGACGGAGAGCGCCCCACCCGTCCGGGGCGCTTGCGGTGTACACGGTCATCAGCACCGGGCTGGGGCCCTGGGAAAACAGGAGTGCCAGCTCAGCCCAGTCCGGTGCGGTCAGGCGTCCCGACCACGCCCAAGGGCATCGCCGCAGGCTCCTGTCCTCATCCCCCACGGCTCAGAACACCCCTGCACAGCCCCTCTTCTGCTGCCCGGCTCACGTCCTGCTCCGGGTCTCGCTGGTCTGCTCGTGGTTTCACTGGCTCGGGCCCAGGTAAAATCAGCAGCATGGCCACGCTTCCCTTTCCAGAACGAGACCCTCCTCGCCCCTCGGCCCACCAGAGCAGAGGTCGAGTAAGGAAGTGCCTGACCCAGAGAAAGCACTAAAAATGTCCAGCAAACCACTGCCCAAATGCTGGGTCCCATCAAGTGAGAATTCCCGGACCCCAGAGTCCCGCGCGTTTCCTGTCTCCATGCTCTTTCCATCCCTGTGTCACCTGTGCCTTCACCTTCCTGAGCCTCTGGGATTTGCAAGCCTCTCTACTCAGGCTTGGACCCCAGTCAGTTCGCCTCCCAACTGCACTCCTAGCTGTGAGTCAGTGCCTCCTTCGGGTTTCTGCTCTCACCACCGGCGGCTCCAATGCCGGGACCCTTGCACCCAGCCCCCCGCAGCGTCCACGTTCATGCCCAAGCTGCTGAATGCTTCAAAGAAAGTGAAAGGGGGAGAAAAGCACGGCCAACTTTATCCACCACAGAGCACGTGGTTTGACGTTGTATGTATTTCTGCCTGACACTCTGCATGTTTAACATTTTAAAATAGTCTACTAAGTTCCCAAAATGACGTTCTCACCTTTTTAATAAAGGCTAATCATATGGAAGCTGTGTGTTCCATGCACGCTCAGCCTCACAGAATTCCCAGATCACAGGTCCTCACATCAGCCAGGGCTTTCCCTGGAGGATTCCAGCCGGCCACTCCCCACCCCAGGCAGGCACCGCAGACTCCAAGCAGGGCCCCCGCAAGCCACCTTCACTCTCGCGGGATGAGGGAGGGAGCCATCACCACGAGAGGCAGTGCATTCCATTTCTGGGGAACGCAGACTGTCAGAAACCACAGCCCACATGCTGAGCCAGTGTGTGCTCTGTCACTCGCCGACGCTGTTCTGAGCTCCAGCGCTGGAAGGACTTCCCTTCCACAGGAAAACACGCCAGACTTCTGAAGATGCCACCACATGGGTCTCCCCTTCGTGAGAGATTCACTCCCAGTTCCTTCTTTTATCTTTTTTTGTATCAACATGCACTTTATACTCTTTTAACAAATTTCAGTAGTGTTAGCGACTCTAGTCATCAGCTGTATGTCAGACGCTCAGAACATACCTTGAAAGTGGAAGTCTGAATCTCCGCCACCCTCTGTCTCCATCCCTCGATGACCCCAGCCTCTGGCAACCGCTCCTCCAGCCTGTGGTATGAGTCCACGGTTTGCTCTGGTTTTCTGAATTCCATGTCTGAGCGACACCGTAACTGTTATATGTCTTACACCGTCTGGCTTATCTCCCTTGCATAATGTTCTCCAGTTCCATCCATGTTGTCACAAATGACGGCTTTCCTTCTTTTTTAAGACTGAATGTATTCCATTTTATGCACACATCACATTTTCTTTGTTCATTCATCCGTTCTTACACACTTGGGTTGTCCCCACGCCTTGGCCACTGTGAATAATGCTGCTATGAACCTGGGAGCACAGATCCCTCTTCAGGATGGTAACCTGACTTCCTTCCTGCACACCTAGGAATAGGACTGCTGGGTCGTAGGGTGGTTCTGTTTTTAATTTCCTGCTGAACCTCCATACTGTTTCCATGGTGAGCGCACCAGTTTACATTCCCCCCAGCAGTGCCCCAGGGCTCCCTTTTCTCCACACCCTCCCCAACATGCTATCTCCCGTCTTCTAAACAAAAACTTTTACCAAGGTAGTAAATGGTGTTTATGACTGCAAGTGGACACAGTGCTCCAACACATTAATACCCTGTGAACTTCAAAACACCAAATGCACTTATAGTAGTGTTACCGGTCAGCAAAATGAAGGGGCAGGAAGCTTTACGACTGTGAGTGCACCAGTGTTCCCGGAAGGGCGGCGCTGGCCAGACGACCACTCAAGGGCCTCATAGCTCTGGCGTGCCCACCGTGACAGACACGGGCCAGTACTCAGAACTCCCTAGGTTCCTGCAGGTCCTCACCTTCCGATTCCCCTGGGGAATGGGAGTCGGGCCAGACATCCTGACAGGTGTGAGGCGATGGCTCATGTGGTTCTGACTCGCATTTCCCCGGCGATTAGGGGTGTGGAGCACCTGTTCCTGCACCTGCTGGACACTCACATGTCTTCTTTGGGAAAATGTCTATTCAGGACCTTAGCCCATTTTAAATCAGGTCCTTTGGTTTTCTGCTGCTGAGCTGTGCGAGCTCCTTGCCTAGCTTGGGCGTTAGGCTCTCATCAGCCCCGCTCCGCAGGCGGCCTCCCCTCTCGTCGCTGGTTCCCTTAGCTGCTTTAGCCTAATCAGCCCCATGTGTTTACTTCTGCCTTTGCGGCCTTGGCTCTGGGCGTCAAATTCAAAACCTTCCCCAAGACTGCTGTCAAGGGGCTCAGTTAGCTCTTCGTATTTTCTAGGAGGTTTATGGCTTCAAGTCTCACGTTCAAGTCCTTAGTCCACTTTGAGTTGTTTCTGGAGGAAGACAGAGCTCCAGTTTGCATCCTACTGCATGTGGATATCCAGGTCTTCCAAACCATTTCTTACAGGCTTTCCTCTCCCCGCTGTACATTCTTAGCGCCTCTACTGAAAATTAATTGACGTAAGTGCACAGGTTTATCTCTGGACTCTCCATTCCGTTCCATCCATCTGGCTGGCTGTATGCCAATACGGTACTGTTTTGATTCCCACATTTGCAATACAGTTTGAAACCAGAACATGTGATGCCTCCAGCTGTGACCCTCTTACGATTGCTTTGGCTGTTTGGGGTCTTTTGCGGTGCAATACAAACTTTACAATGTGTTTTTTCTGTTTCTGTGGAAAATGCCATTGGACTTTGATAGGAACTGCACTGAATCTATAAATGGGATTGTTTTCTCAATTTCTCATTCTGATTTGTTTTACTGTAAAAAAAATACAAGTGGTTTTTGTATATTAATTTTGTATCCTGTAATTTTACTCAAATCTTTTGTTAGTTCCAGCAGTTTTTGGTGGTTTTTCAGAGTTTTCTACGTATAATATCATGTCGCCTGCGAACAGTTTTCTTTCTTTCTTTCCAGTTTGGGTGCCTTTTGTTTCTTTTCTCAGCCTTACCTTTCTAGTTACGACTTCAAGTCCTGCATTGAATGAAAGTGGCAAGAGTGGGCATCCTTGTCTTGTTCTGATCTTGGAGGAAGTGCTTTCAGTTTTCTACCACTGAGTACTTACGGGATGCAGCAAAGGCAGTTCTAAGAGTGACGTTTACAGAAATAATGCCTTCTTAAAACAGGCCGAAGTTTGGGGTTGTTGTTCCCATTTTCATTTGTCTCAAGATCTCTTTATTTCCCTTTTGATTTCTTCTTTGACGCATTGGTTGCTCGGGAGCATGTTGTTTAATCTCCGCATATTTGTGCATTTTCCAGTTTTCTTCCTGCAATGGATCTCCAGTTTCACACCACTGTGGCTGGAAGAGATGCTTGAGATAATGTGAATCTTCTTAAACGTAGTAAGACTTACTCCACGGCCTGGCATATGACGCATCCTGGAGAACATTCCACGTGCACTTGAGAAGCTGTGCCTTCTGCTGCTGTCGGCTGGACTTCTGTCACGCCTATCAGGTCCATCTGGTCTAACGTATAATTCAAGTCCAGTGTTTCCGTATTTGTCATGTGTCTGGATAACCCGTCCATGACTGAAACTGGGGCACTGACGTCCCCGCTAGGACTGTGCTCCGGCCTGCCTCTCTTCAGGCCTGCAAATGTGCTTCATGCATCTGGGTCATGTAAAGACCTTCCGTGACTCTTGGTACAGACATCTTAAAGTCTCTTTGGTCTGCTGTGAGTACAGCTACCCCTGCTTCTTTTGGCTTCCATTTGAGTCCGTCTTTTTCCACCCGTTCAGTTTCAGTCTATACGTGTCCTTAGAGCAGAGATGAGTCTCTTTTAGGAAACATACAGTTGGGTCTTATTTTTTTTAATCCACTCAGCCACTCTATGCGTTTCGATTGAAGAACTGAATGCATTTACATTTAAAGTCATTATGGATAAGTGTGACCTTACTGTCGCCATTTTGTTGTTTTCTGATTGTTCTATGATTCTTTTGTTTCTCTCTGACTCTCTGGCTCTTGTGTGTGTGTGTGTGTGAGAGAGAGAGAGATTTGACGACTTTCCATGCTGGTTTGCTGGGAGTCTTCTCTCTTCATCTTCTGTGTGTCCACAGCAGGGTTTTGCTTCGTGGTTACTGTGAGGCTCACATAACACATCCCACACTTACAACAGTTATCTCACTAGTAACAACTTCAAATGCATTCTGAGGCTCTACGTTTTTCTCCCGTCCCTGCATTCTGTGTTTTGACATCACAATTTACATCTTTCACCTTGTGCATCAACTAACAAATTATTATGCTTATAGCTGTTATTAATAGCTTTGTCTTCTAACCTCCACACTAGAGTTGTAAGTGACTGACCCACCACCACTACATTAGAATATTCTGAACTTGACTATATACTTACTTTTACCAGTGGGTTTTATACTTTTATATGTTTTCCTGTTACTGATTAGGATTCTTTCACTTCAGCTTAAAGAACTCACGTTAACACTTTCTCGAAGGCTGGTCTAGTGGTGCTAAACCCCTTTAGCTTTGGTTTGTCTGGAAAACTACTTACCCTTCCCTCAATTCTGAATGACAGCCTTGCCGGGTATAGTACCCTTGGCTGGCAGGGCTTTTTTTCCCTTTCAGCACTTTGAACATAGCATCCCACAGCCTTCTGCTGAAAATCACTGAAGGTTTCTGCTTAAAACTGCTGACAGTCTTTTGTGGGCCCCCTGGCGTGTAGCGAGTTGTCTTCCGCTTGCTGATCCTACGATTATCTCCCTGTATGTAAGTTCTGCCACGTCCATTACCACGTGTCCTGCTGCCGGTTCCTTTGGGCTCCTCTTGCTTAGGACCCCCGGGCCTCCTGGGTGTGGGTGTCTGCTTCTCTACACAGGGTAGGGAGTTTTCAGCCATTATTTTGGTAAGTGAGCTTTCTGCCCTTCTCTCTCTCTTCTCCTTCTGCAACCCTTATAACGCACATATTGCCTGTCCACAAGCCCCGTAAGCTGTCTTCGCTCTTTTTCTCTTTTCTCTTCAGATGGATGAATCCCACTGTGCTGTCTTCAAGTCCATCGATCCTTTCTTCCGCAGCATCTACGTCTGATTTCCCATCTAGTTCAGCCCTAGCTCCCCTTAACTGTGTAGGCTCTACCTTGCCCAGTTTGGACAGGATTCTCTTTGGTAGAAAAACGCAAAAACAAACTAGGGGGCCTGAAAGCTCTGTTCTCCCCCTACATTCAGGTAATGCTAATGCTCCCACACCGTGTGCAGGCACAGCCCCAGACCGCTGGGAGGACTCCCGCGGACACTGCCCCATCACTGTGCTTTATCTGTGTCTTTCTATGGGGTTGGGGGCCAGGCATCATGGGCACATGACTTTGATTTAACTGCACCTAGAACCACTGATAGCAGGCATTTCAAGTGCACAACAGATCTCAGTTTTAACTGAACGAATCACTACTGAGAATTCCCCCAGCACATGAGCTCAGAGGTCTGAGCACGAGCGAGAATTAAAATGCCTCCCTCTCTGAACGGCCCTTACCTGAAAGGAAGAGAGCATTTCGTACGTGGCCTTGTTTATGCTCCTCAGGTGGAGGGTGGCCAGCACTGCGGGGGGAGGAGAGACTGCGTGTCCAGTGGCTGGGGATCCGGGCCTCCGCCAGCACCACCCATGGGCCTGCTCACGGGTGGTCACAGTAACACCGTGCAGCCACGGCCAGCGAAGGTGGGGCCCACGTCTGTGCCCACGTGGGCGCCACGCAGAGCCTTTCAAGAACACCTGTTCACCTGGCATTCACGGTGAGTGACCCAGGGAACAAGAAAGTCAGTTGGAATAAACCACTTTGTGCTGATGAATAAACAGGAGCCAAGTGAAGCAGCTGAGCCCGGGGAGAGGAGGGCGTCAGGCCCAGCCCTGACCAGAGGCCTCCCGGCTTCATGTGCAGAACACACTTCTGTCTCACCCCACACACAGTGGAAGGCCACCAACGAGCCTGGGGAGAGACCAGCAGGGGACAAAATGCCAACAGAACAGCCTGGGTTAAAGATTCCAAAGGCACGTCCTCTGCTCCGTCTGCACACGACCTTCCGGTTCCTGCGGACTCACCCTGCCTCCCCGGCTGCTCTACTGAATTTGAGTCTCTTTCCTGCTTTGAGTCTCTGTCTCATTCATGCGATGAGTGCCTGGGGCTGGGCCAGGGCAGGACCTTCCCTCCGCATCCCCTTCAAGCTCAGGCCTGACCATACGGCTTGCTCTGTCCCAGCCCGGCCCAAGACAGGACCGAGGAGGAGGGAGCGGGTGGCTAGCACTCAGGGGCAACGGCTGGGGGGTGGGGGTGTCAGGGAGAAGACTGGCTCCTGAGTCAGCTTTGCCTGGAAGCCCCACCGCCAGGCCATCCCCAGGAAAGGGGATGACGAGGCTTCGGGAACCCTCTTCTGCCTCACACCCAACTGGCAGAGAAGGTGGGCGGCCCCAGCACAGTACCGTTCTTGACGCGGCCTCCCGTCAGGTCCTGTCCAGTATCCGCGGTCATGAGCAGCGTCTTGACCCCTCTTGTCACCAGGGCCTGCGGAGAAGCCGGAAGGTCAGTGACTGGCCAAGGCCCAGGGGACGGTGCCTCCCTGGGAAGAGCAACAGCTCTTTTCATTTTCAGCTGAACAAAAGTTGCAAGAATTTGTTAGCAGTACACCTGGGACAAGGAGAACAGAAAAGGCGCTCTTCGGGAAGAGGAAAATGCTCATAGAGACAACACTCAGAGCTGCAGAGAGAGGGGAAAAGCTACCAAAATACATTATGTGGGTAAACCTAAGCGACTCTATACGATAATAAAAAGAATAATGCCATGTGGGTCTAAGACACACACAGCATGGAAAGAAATGACAACACTAGCACCGAAGGGAGAAGAGGGGAAGGTGCAGCTGAACTGTCTCAGGTGTTTCCCTTGCCCTGGAATTGGCAAATATACTAACTTTTATCAGATATTAATGATTCAGGATGAATACTATAGTGTCTATGGCCAAGTCTAAAAAATAAGTGAAAAGTGTGTAGTAAGTTAGTAGAGGAGAAAACATAATAATAAAAATACTCAGTCAACTCAAAAAAAGAAAAACCAGAGAGAAAGCACCATAGACAGGTCGGAGAAAAAGAGTGAAAATAGCAAGATATGGATTTAAATGCAAATATCAATTATTACATTAAATCTAAATGAACCAAATATCTCATTTAAAAGACAAGAATTTTCATAATGGATTAATAAAAACAATTTCTAATTATATATTGCTTACAAGGTATGCATCTTAAAAATATGGATGGAAAAACAGAGTAAAAGGATAAAAGAGTATGTATTATACAAACAACCACCAAAAGACAGCTGCGATACCCACAGAAGGGAAAATATTTTAACATCTCTCTTTGCCTTACATCAGAGTCACGCAGGTAGTTTCCAGTCCCCTCTCTAGGGCGTGAATGCATGGAAGAACTAAACTGGACCCCATTCATCTCCATATCCCACGGTTCCATGCAATCTGTAGGTACTCAGGATGTTTGCGCCACAAACTGACAAAGTGAGAAAAGAAGTAGGTAAACATGGAGGAAAAGTAAAGGAGCACTTACCTGTTTAACATACGGCATGTATTTTTCATCCATATGATACGAACCATATTCATTCTCCAGCTGCACAGCAATAATGGGGCCATCTTCTTGGACCTGAGGGTCAAGGAGATGAGAGTCTGAGAGTGATGTGACCAGAGGGGGAAGGCTGGATGTTCTCAATCTGTTGTCGCACACACGTATTTCTAGTGCCATAAAAAGCGACGTATTTCTAGACTCGCCCCCAAGTACACTACAGTTGCGCCCATTTCTCTCACTCTACAGCCAGCAACCATCGCCAGGAGGTTAAGTGCCCGTAGCGTCCTTTTCCTGGTGCCCCCTAAGTAGTTTGTGCCCGGTAGTGACCCCTGGTTCAACGCATCAGCAGAGGCTTCAAGCCTCCGCTTCCAGCCTTTCTACTTTGGTGCCACTTAAGTGAGTAAGGCGTCCCTCCTCCCCGCCAGGCGCTGTCTCACTCCTGTGCACAGGAGCTCATCTCCTTCCCGCTGTGCCAGGACTCTGCCCCTTGGGTGTCCCTCTGTCTCCTGTATCTTCATCTCCTTCTTTACTGAGCCCTTCCCACCATCATGTAAACTGACTCCAGTGACTAACCCTCTTGTCCTCATCACCTTCGGGGACAAACTCTGTGAAACAGTTCTGCACTCACTCTTCTTATCCTCCCACTGACTCTGTCTCCCTCTGGTCCCACTTCCACTCCTTCCTTTCTGCCTGCTTTATGAACACTGACCTCCTCGTTGCTGAACTTAAACATACATTTTAACCCTAATTTAACTCCTCTCCAGCAACAGCCAAAGCCCTTGGCTCGCTCCTCCTTCTCGAAGGCCTCTCTGCTGTCTTCTGGAACATCCCCCCGGTGCTGCCCCTCTGGCCACCCCTCCTGAGTCTCCTTGTGAGCTCCTCGTGCCCCACCCACCTCTTCAGTGTTGAGGTTGCTCATGGTTCCCCATCAGTCCCAACGCTGGGCTGGATCGCATCCCCGTCTGAGCTCTCAAACAAGCCCTCTTGCCGGTATCTCCTCACCGTCCCTCCCTCCCAGTTCCCTTCAGCTGACGTCACCACGTGCAATCAGCCGTGCCTCTGTAGCTCTCGCCAGGCCGGCTGGCGCGTCTTCTCTCCGTACCTTGCACCTGCCAAGTCCTAGTCAGGTTTCACCACGCCCACTTCTGCACCTCTCAAACTGCCCTTGGAGACACATGAGCCACCATGAGGTGTCCCTCTCAGCATGCAGAATTAAGAAAACCAGTGTTGACCCCTAAAAATGAAACTCCACGCCAACAGCGAAAGTAAGAATCTGGGTTAACAGCCAGTACTGTGTGTAAGCGTGACTGAAGTGCTTGCACATCAAGCACTGTGATTATCATGACCTCAGAGAAACTGGGAGAAGAGAGCTGAAATGGGAAAGTATTTAGCAAGCGAAGAGTAACTGGCTGCACTGCACCCTGACAGGGGAGAGAAGAGGTCACAAGGCCTAACAGAGCGGTCCAAATCTTTACATCTCATCCTCTGATGGCAAACATTGAAAACCCTTTCCAAAACCTGCTTCTTTCTTCCCCCTTCCCACCCACACAGTGAGGAATCTGACAGATCAGAGAACAGAAAAGGAAAGAGGAAAACCCAGAAGTTGACAGTACCTGGGATTATCTAAAGCAAGAGCCCCTGAACGTGATAAACGCACTCGGAAGTTCTAGAAGGAGGGTACTTGGTGGCAAGTGCTGACTCAGCAGGCTGTGCTCATGCTGTCCAGACCCCCGGCTTCCTCAGGCCCTGGCTCTGTGCTCACCCCGCAACCTTCTGATTTCTCCTCCAGCTTCCCGGGAGTTCCAAGGCTAAGGAGGTCTTATCTGGAGCGGAGTGAGCGCTCCAGTTCAATGCTGTCCAACAGAACTTTCCGTGATGATGAAGATGTTCTGGGTTCTCACTGTCCAGTGTGGTAGCCACCGTCCACGTGTGGCTGTTGAGCACCTGAAATGTGTCTGTTGTGAATGAGGGACTAAACTGTTCATTTTATTTAGCTTTAATTGTAAATTAAACAGCCACACGTGGCCATGGCTACCATACTGGAGGCACGGCTCCCTTCTCCGTAAAGGACTAGCTCTACTGTCTCCTGTTCCCAACAGCACACTGACTCTGCTCTTCAGTGACTGAGTAGTTTAAACGGCTCCCTTGAGTCTGATTAATTCTGGGACACTCACAGTGTCAGGAACCAGCTCTGCTCCGAGTGGCTCATGGGATGCAAAGCCCCTTCAGATGATGACAGTGACGATGAAACATGCTCAGTGGTAATCACCCAGTGAGCTGCTCGACACCTCTCAGACTCCACACGTTTGTTCCTTCCCCCGCTCACTGTCTACCTGGCTATACAGTGCCTGAGGCACTTCCCACACACGTAAGGGCTGCCGCGACACACCACTTCTACTCAAGCGCGAGCATGCGTAACACCATGCACGGGGAGGCGTGATAAAACTCAGCTTCCACCAGATCACTGACCTAAGCTCATCTATGTAACTAAGTTAAATTAGCACCTAAGTTAAGGCATTTTGGTGACTATCATTAACTTCCCGTTTATGGTGATGGAGAGCAAAGAAATAATGGAGAAGGTGAAATGAAAATGGACAGAGTGCAGTTCCAAGCGCACTGCCAGGAACAAGGCATCTGGTCGGGCAGCAGATGAGGAAAGGCACAAAAGCAGAGCAAAACAGCCTGACACTTCTTGAATGAGGAGCTGGAATGAGCTGCTGCACATGCTTCCGACTTGTGAGTGGTGGAGAGCAGGCGGCCCACCTAGGAAATCGGGGCAGGCAACGCCTTCCCTGGGCCACAGAGACGGCTGGGCTTTACCTGGAGGGACACTATCCGGGGGATCAGCTCATCAAAATAGTGATTCACGGCTTTAGTGAAGCCCTTGTACGTTGTCCTCAGCTTCATTTTAGGGTCCCGGAGTAACCAGCTGGGGTTGAAAAGGCAAGACTCAGACTGGGGGTGGGAGACAGCAAAACGAAACGTTCATGCACCTGGGGCTACAAGCACAGCCCAAATGCGCACAGCCACCCGGGAGCAGCGAGCACATCGCGAGATGTCAGCGCATCCTCAGGAAACGCAGTCTGTGCTCGGTTACAAGAGCTCAGCACCTTCCCCACCACCTCTCTCCTCCACACACACGGGAGGTGGTGAGGTGAGGAAACGACCCGGGAGGGTCGTCAAGCTGCAGCCCACCAGCCAAAGCAGAGCCGCTGTCTGTGCCTGTGAATAAAGTTTTATTGGCACACGGCCCCTCCGTCTGTCTGCAGTCTCCACAGCATGTTCCTGCTGCAGCTGCGGGACGGAGTAAGTGCAACAGCGACTGTCCCCCAAAGCTGAAAATGCTTACTATCTGGCCTTTTACCAAAAACGTTTGCCAAACCCTAGGCTAGAATGAGATTTTTATAAAGCTGTTTTAAAGTTTCTTTTTAAATGTTCTTTACTGGAATATAATTTGGCCGTTAAAAATGAGGAACTGGTTCATGCTACAGCATTGACGAGCCCTGAAAACATTACGTCACGGGAAAGAAGCCAGGCACAAAGGTCACATAACGCACGGTCCCATGTGTATGGAACACAGAGCAGACCGATCCACAGAAATGGGAAGCACACGGGTGCTTGCCGGGGCCTGGGGGGCAGGAGTGGGGGTGACTGGGCTGAGGGCTTCCTCTTCGAGTGATGAAGAAGGTCTGGAACTTGGCAGTGGTGACGGTCGCTGAGCATTTTCAATGTATTTAATTGCCACAAAACTGCATACTTTTAAATAGTAAATTGTACATTGTGTGTATTTTACTACAATTTAAAAAATGATAGAAACAAAAAAGAAAGAAAGAAAATCCTCTTTTAAAAGAGATAATCACTGTGTGTACTGCTGTCCCCAAACCGAGAACTTACAAAGATACTGCTTACGTGGTAGCCAATAGCTTTTTTTTTCTACCTTATTTGTATGGCAGAAATGAGATGGAGATTTATAAAAAACAAATACTATATAATTCCCAGTATTTTAAGGTTCATTTTCTGCATCATTAAATGAGGGGGAAGTGCAGATTAAAAAGGCACATAGAAAAGCAAGGAAAACGCTTTGCTCTGATTCACCTGTGAGAGTGCCTGGGGCCCACGTGCAGTCACGGCCAGGGGCCCCGGAGCACAGCCTACCTGGGCAGGCCGCCAAGGTCCAAGTCGCTCCCGATGTACGGGCCTGGACACAGGATGACCCACAGGTCCACCTCCAACGCCATGGATATAAAAACCCTGGGGAGTGAAGCAATAAAGACAATTTCACATAGAGAGCTGAGGCTGGACTCGCTGCTGTCTCTCCCCAAGATGTCCTCTCCCGTGGGTAGAAGGTGGGACTCCCAGCCTGGCCCCCAGAAGTCCTTGCAGGAGACGGGACCCGGGGGGCAGGGAGCCCTGCACTCGGCAAGAAAGGGGCTCAGTCACGGACCAGAGAGCAGGACACCGACGGGAAAGCACAGGGACCCTGGACCGGACGCCAGCCTTCCCTCCTGACCTGCTCCCCACGTCTCCTCCCCCGACTGACTGGCACCGCCGCACAAGAAGTCCTCCGGCCTCTTCTTTCCTCCTCATCCCCACCTTCAGTCTGTCACCAGATTGTGTTTATTCCTCCTACTTGATACTTCTGGGCACGAGATGTCTTCTAATTCCGACCGTTACCCTCCTGCTTAGAGAACTCCTCATCTCCACTGGAGTTGTTACAGCAGCTCCCTCCTTCCTTCTTACCTTCCCTGACGCCTCTCCAGTGCCTGTCCAGTCTCTCAGCACCAACAACAAAACCAGGAGCTAATTTTCACCCTGCCCCAGCTCAGTTCTGTGAGTTTATTCTTTTACTTGGCGATTCTATGAGATGGGTACTAACACCATCTCCATTTTATAGAGAAGAAACCAAAAGCTTAAGGAGTCAGAGCTTCCGAGGTCACATTTTTGGCCCAAGGAAGAGTTAAAGGGGCCGTCAGGCTTACTTGTTGCAGCAGCTAACGCTGCTTAATAAACATCAACCGTTCTTTCACGTCTCTGACTGTGCCCTTGCTGGACCCTGTTTCTGAAGTAACATTCAGCCTCCTCTAATAAACTCCTCATCAACTTTGGATTTATTTCACTACAACTTCACTGTCACCTGCCCTGGGCTGCCCCCTACTTTGTGTCATCTACCGCCTTCTCTACAGAGAACCCTTACTCCTGACAACACAGTGTGTTATCTGTGCATCTCTAGCACCAAAGACAGCTCTGAACCACAGCACATGGACAGTACATATTTTCGAATAAACACCTGCTCTCCTGTACCATGTTTCAGAAATCCTGCAAACTACAGCTCAGAGATCTCTTCTCATAAGTGAGACAGCCGATCCCCCATGGCAGATTAAACCTGTGGCGCTCTGGATGTACACTTTCTAAGCCACATGGTGAGCAAAATGCACCCCAGACATGAAGGTCCAGGCTCCACTGCCGATAAAAGAATCACTGCTCAAGAGGCTGCAGCTGAGGAACCAGACTGTCAGAGCTTCCTGGTGGTTCTCAAAGCAGAAAACAGGCGCCCCTTGTTTCAGCTGATCCCACAGAGTCAAACCCTGCCTCTGAGCCACAGAAACAGGGACCCTAAACGTGAAACTTACGCCAAATCCAGGTTTCCAGTAAACTGAAACTGGCCTCTTCTTGGCTCATGAAGATTCCAAGGAACATGCCTGAAACGGCAAAAAGAAAACTATAGAAACTTCTCACCCACTTGCTCTGATTCCATATTGACTCCTCAGTTTTAACACGGCGCCTGGGCTGCCTCTACCAAGAAAGAGACTGAACATCCCAACAGCCAAATCTCTATGTGCATATGCACTATGCAGCAGCTTCAAAATTTCTTCCCTCAAATGCCCAACAAAGATCCAAGCAGCCAATATTTGTCCATGATTCCGGACTTCAGGTAAAATAGATGTGTTTGTCATGTCTGCTGGGGAACAGCTGCAGTTTTTTTTTTAATGCTCAAAAAAACATAAAAAATTTAAATCCACATCTATAATGGCAAAAAAGGGAAACCATTAACCATAACATAGAAACCAGGAAGATCTGAAAAGTTTATAGAACTGGATTATACAATATTATTTAAATAAATGGAGTGAAATGCAGTGATTCACAATGTAAGATTCATAATACCCAGGATCCATTACAAAGGCTTACTAGGCAACTATGCAAAACAGTTAGGAAAATACGACGCACAACCAGGAAAAAAATCAAGCAATAGAAATAATCCCAGAAATGACACACAGTTTGAAACTGGTAGAAAAATGTTAAAAAGGTACAACATACACACACAGCAACTTTAGTAAGTAAAGAAAGGCGTGATCATGGTGAGGAAAAGGAAAGATACAAAAAAGACCCAGAATGAACTTCTAAATTTTAAAAAAGATACTGTCTGAAATAAAAAATACTCTGGATACTGTTAACAGCAAGAAATAAAACATGTACCACTGATTCCAACAGCAAAACAGAAACAGCAATAAAACGTCAGTAAGCTTTAGGAAAGAACAAAAGAAACTATCAAACTAGAACACGGGGGGGGGGGGAGGCTAAAAATGAACAAAGCACCAGTAACACGTGGGATCTCGTCAAGAGTCTAGCATGTACATGAGTCCTGGAAAAAGCGGGAGACAAAAATATTAGAAGAAACAGGGATGAAATTTTACCAAATTTTGGTAAATTGATGAAAACTATAAACCTACAGATTGAAGAATCTCAGTGAACCACAAGTAGAAAAAAAATCTGCATCACAGCACATCAGAATCAAATCACTGAAAAAGAATGAAATGAAATTGAAAAAGAAAATCTTAAAAGCAACCAGAGAGGGAAAAGCAACACATTATATGAAGAATAAAACAAGATAAGAAGTACAGCAGATTTGCCATCAGGTGATGTGTATGTCGGAAGATGACGAAAAGACATTTTTAAGGTACTGAAATTAAAACACAGAAACAAACAAGAAAACTACCAATCTAAAATTCTATACCCAGTGAAATTATCCTTAAAAACTGAAGATGAAAGAAATGTACTTTTCAAAAAAACAAGATCTAAGGAAACCACGATCAAGCGACCTCCACTGGAAGAAATGTTAAAGGAAGTTCTTCAGCAGAAGGAAGTGACACCAAGCAGAAAAAGTCATCTGCACCCAAGAATGAAAGCATCAAAAATGGTAAATACGTGAGTAACTTTAAAAAGAGATTTTTATCATCTTAAATTTCTCTCAAATACAATTAGATGTTCAAAGCAGAAAAAATGTTAGCACGAATTCTGTAGCACAAAGCACAAAGGAAAGGCAGAGGGCAGTGGATGCATACAAGCGCAAGGTTCTGCAGCGACAGCTTCACCTTCCTGGAGAAGAGAACAAGCCAGGAAATTAGGGCTTTAGGCATGGACTTTTCTGTAAGAATTTTGGGAACGAATCCAGGATCCTTAGAAAGTACTTAATTCAGTCCCCCACTTTCACTGGATACATCACCCAGACAGAAAACCAGCAAGGAAAACTGGACTTGAACTGCACGTTAGGCCGGAGGAACTTACCAGACGTCTACACGACATTTCATCAAACAGCAGCAGAATACACATTTTTCTCAAGCAGACAATGAATATTCTCCAACAGATCATATGTTAGGCCTCAAAACAAGTCTTAATAAATTTAAGAAGACTGAAACCATATCAAGCATCTTTTCTGACCACGATGATGTGAAACTAGAAATTAGTAATAAGAAGAAAACTGGAAAATTCACAAATACGTGGAGATAAAACAGCACAAACAAAAGGGAAGATATCCAAACTGTACAACTGGTGAAGAATTAAAAATATCCATACTACCCAAAGAAATCTACAGATTCAATGTAGCCTCTATCAAAATTCCAATGACACTGCTCACGAATTTTTTTAAAGACCTTAAAATTTGTATGGAACCACAGAAGAGCCCAAACAGTCAGAGAAATCTTGAGGGAAAAAACAAAGCTGGAAGTATAACACTTGCTGATTCTAAACCGCACTACAAAGCTGTAGTGACCAGAACGAGAGAGCCAGAAACAGACACGTGGATCAACGGAACAGCACAGCGAGCCCAGAAGCAACCACAGGCACATACGGTCTGTTACTTTATGGCAAGAGAGCCAAAAATACACCAAGGGAAAGGGACGCTCTCACCAATAATAATGTGGAGAAAACTGGGCAGCCACACGCCCAGCAATAGACTGGGCCGTCCTACGCCACACACAGAACCAGCTCCACACAGATTAAACATAACACACAAAACCACAGAAGTCCTAGAAAAATGGGGGGTAAGCTCCTTGACATCAGCTTTGGCATTTGATGCCTAAAGCAAAGACAACAAGAGTGAAATAAACAAGGGGAACTATATCAGACCAAAAAGCTTCTGCACAGCAAAGGAAACCACCAAAAAAGGAAAGGCAACCTACGACATGGCAGAAAATACTGGCAAACCATCAAATCTAATAAAATTTTCAAATCTGATGGGGGTTAATATCCAAAGTACAGAAGGAACTCATACAACTTAACGGCAAAAAACAAAGCAAAACAAAACAATAACAAACAAAAAAACCCAATAACCCAAATTAAAAATGGGCAAATGACCAGAATAGGCATTTTTCCAAAGAAGATACACAAATCTCAAACACGTCCCTGAAAAGGAGCTTACCAGTCCTAGTTATCAGGGAAATGCAAATCAGACCACAGCGCGGTGCCACCTCACACCTGCCGGGATGCCCATCATCAAAAAGACAGAAGATAACAAGTGTTGGCGCGGACGCGGAGAGAAGCGAGCCCTGCACACCACGGTGGGACTGTGAATCGGTGCAGCCACTGTGGAAAACTGTATGGAGGCTCCGCAAAAATTTAAGACTGTACAACCCAGCAATCTTATTTCTGAGTATGCATCCAAAGGAAATGATACTCTTATCTCAGAGAAGTAGCTGTACGCCCACGTTCAGAGATCAGAGCAGCTTCATTCACAATAATCCAGGTATGGAAACAACATGTATACATATATATAATACTTACATACACACACACACACTCACACACTCACATGCACAATGGAGTATTATTCAGGTTTTAAAACAGAATGAAACCCTGTCATTTGCTACAACATCGACGAACATGGAGGGCACCCTGCTAAATGAACTAAGACCGACAGTGAAAGACAAGAACCGTACAATATCACTTGCATGTGGACTCTTAAAAACAAAGTAACTGAACTCCTAGAAACAGAATGCATGGTGGCTGTGAGGGTCTGAGGAGTGGAGGAAACAGGAGAAATCTGCAGAAGGGTACAAACTTCCAGTTCAAAATGAAGGAGACCTGAGGGTCCAGTGTCCACCGTGGGGCTGCTGACACGATGCTGCACAAGTGAACTTTGCTAAGGAAGCAGAACTGAAGCGCTTCTCACCGAAACAAACAAGCGCAGACAGGCCAAGGTGTGAGGTGACGGATGTGCTGAAGAACTGGGCGGGGAGGCATCTGTTCACAGTGTACACACAGGTCGAATCATGCTGCACGCTTAAGATACACCCAGGGCTCCCTCCACGCCGGGGGCCTCTCGCAGTACTCAACCAGTGGCAGCCTCCAGGGGCAACGCTCTGCGAGGCAGCTGTGCGGACCACCAGCCCAGTCTGCCTGCCGGTACCCTGTTGGGGGGGCCTCTTGGACCTCAGGGTCTCTGGTCGCAGGGAAGCCAGACGGAGCACAGGGGAGACCAGTCAGGGATGGGGTCCAGCACTTTGAGAAGAAGGGCTTTAAGCACCAGCGGGCGACCTTGCTGGGCACTCACCTCGACCCAAGACCTGCAGGGAGCCCCTCTGCCCAGATCTCATCAGCCACAGGCCCACCGGCCCCGCCCCAGTCACAGTGGAGGAAACCCCGAGGTGGTCCACACCACCTGGCTGAGGCTGCCCCAGCCCCACTGCACAACCTCGGCCTACACATCCACGCCAGCGACTCCGTGGAGAGGCCCAGAGGAGGTCCAGTTGTGGCCCCAGAGCAGCGAGCAGGTCGGACAGGTGTGGACCCCACTGCAGCACCCAGCGTCCACCCAGCACCAGCGACATCTGAACAAGAACCTGAACCCATCCCCACTCTGCCCCCTGTCCCAAACCACACCTCTGTCCACCCTCTGCCCCACCCAGCCCAGAGGGGTCTGAGCCACCACCTCTATGTGCCTTTCAGTGTCCAAGGCAGAAGGAGACTGCATCAAGTCCTTTCTGTACCGAAGTGTCGCTAGAAAATCTGATTAAATTAGAAAATGTGGGAAAAAACTGCAATAACCCTGCACACACAAACCCCCATACCAACCTCGCCACCACAAGTGACACTTTCAATTATTCTCTCAGTTGTAGGAATCATATTCCAAGATTCCATGCTGTGGACCCGTGTAAAATCAAAGCAAATCCATCTTATAAAGTTAACATGAAGACAGAAAAAAATGTAGAAACATACAGAAGTGCTTCAGGAACTTTTCTGAGCACTTACTATGAGCTACATGTGCTATTATTACCATCAACAACACAAACAAGAAAAGTCCTGCCCTCGTGAAGCTCACATCCCAGGAACTGACACAATAAAACTCTTAGAAGAGAACACTGAGTGAAGCTGCATGGCGCTGGATTTGGCAGTAACTTTCTGGATGTGACAACAAAGGCACAGGCAACAAGAGGAAAAAGAGACAGACTGGACTTCACAGAAATTAAAAACTTTTTGTAAATCAGAGGCCACTGTAGCAAGAGAAAAGCAACAAGTAACATACAAGGGAACACCCATAAGGTTATCAGCTGATTTTCCCGCAGAAACTCAGCAGGACAGAAGGGAGCAGCGCGATATATTTAATGTGATGAAGGGGGAAAACCTACAACCAAGAACACTCTCTGTCCAGCGAGGCTCTTGTTCAGACTTGAGGGCGAAATCAAAAGCTTCACAGATAATCAAAAGCTAAAGGAATTCAGCACCACCAAACCGGCTTTACAACAAATGTTAAAGGAACTTCTCTAGTCATCAAACCACAAGAAGAGAGAGAAAAAAAAAAGAGAGAGAAAAAGACCTACAAAAGATTGCTTTGGCAATTCGGGGTCTTTCATGGGTCCAAATAAATTTTGGAAGTATTTGTCCTAGTTTTGTGAAGAATGTCTTATTTTGACAGGGGTTGCACTGGATCTGTAGATTACTTTGGGTACTGTGGCCATTTGGATAATCCAAGAGCACAAGATATCTTTCCATTTCTTTGTATCATCTTCAGTTTCCTTCATCAATGTTTTACAGTTTTTAGAGTATAGGTAACCTCCTTGGTTAGGTTTATTTCTAGGTATTTTGTTGTTTTCGATGCAATGGAAATGTTTATGCTGGTTATAAAATTCTGGTTTTTGAAGTGAAAAGGGAAAAAAAAGTGAACAAAAGGCCACAAATGACAAAATATCCTTCTTCCTTATGGGTGAGCTGTGTTCCATCACACATGTATGCTGCATCTTCTTTATCCATTCATCTGTTGATGTGCATTTATGATGCTTCCACATCTTGGCAATTATAAAAAAGTGTTGCTGATAATAGCGGGGTGTATGTGTCTTTCTGAATTAATTCTTATTTTGTGGTTGGCTTTATTTCTTTGATAACTATGTAAGTTTAAACAGCGAAAGCTCTGAACATTCTCAGAAACAACGAACAGTACATATATGTGAATTTTAAAAATGCGTGCAGTATATTGTATACATGTATTTACATGCAATACATTGTACATGTGCAGTCAAATTGTAACAATTCTACCTAATAAAAATGAAAAATTAAAAAAAAGGCCACTGTCAATAGAATGTAACAGGATAGAAGAAATTACTTGCAGTCACATGTCTGATAAAGGACAAACATCCAGAATATGCTTAAAAATTCCTACAACTCAGTATTTTAAAAAAAACAAACAAACTACCCGATTCAGAAATGAGCAAAGAACTTGAAATGAGCATCTAGAAATGAGCATTTCTAGAAAAAAGACAAGCAGATGGCTAATAAACAAGAAAAAATGCTCAGCACCGCTGATCACTAGGGAAAGGCAAATCCAGAACACAATGAGATACCACTTGACATTGTTAGGATGGTTACTGGAAAAAACGAAACGAAACAAGTGTTGGCAAGGATGTGGGGAAACCGGAAGGCTTCTGCGTTGCTGGTGGGAGGGAAAATAGTGCAGCTCCCATGGAAGCATTATGAGGGTTCTTCAAAAAATTAAACAGAAGTACAATTTAATCTGGCAGTTTCACTTCTGGGTGTACACACAATAAGAGCCAAAAGCAGGAACTCGAATAGCTATCTGCGCACCAGTGGTGACCGCAGCTCCACGCACAACAGCCAAAGGGCAGCACCAACCCCAGTACCTGCCCACAGGCACCAGACCCATCCATCCCCAGGGAGAGCCGGCGCCAGGCCGCCCTGACCTCACACCAGCGCCCCACCCCGAGCCAATCGCTGCTTCCTCTAATCCTGCATCAGAAGCAACAATCGATCCAGAATTCATGCCTGCTCTCTCCTGACCCCCTCAAGTGCCTTGGGCTGGACCCCAACCTTTCAAAAGTCCCCTCTGGCCAGCTGGTTGCTAGGAATTAAAAAAAGAAGAGAATGCAGCCTGTTTACAATGTTAAACACTCAGTGCTGCCTTTACTCTGAGATGACACTCTTCCTCCACTCTGGATGACCTAGAGCATCTTACAGTTTATGAAATAACAGTAATCATTTTTACGTTTCTAAGCAAGTACATGAAAAACAAATAAATCTTGGTAGGCCCATTTGAACCATAAACGTTTTCCATTTTTAACAGTTTGTGGTTTTTTTACCAAAGTATAGCTGAATCTGGTGTTTTATTAGTTTCAGGTGCACGGCATAGTGATTCAGGATCTGTATCGAATATAAACGTTCATGAAATTTCAATGTCTGAATCACTGCTTTACAAAACCAACAAGATAACGAGAAAACAAAAAAGGAAAATGATGTGACGTGTAAATGGCTTCAGGACACTTTGGGCAGAAGTGCTTCAAAACATCACCCCCATCATCCACCAGATTAAATTCCAGATATTTTCCGTCTAAGATCTGTATTTTAAAAATCAAATCACTGAAAAAAAGGACAACTAAAACTGAAAATAATGGGTTAGCACTTTCTCAGCTTATTTTTGAAGTCAAGAAATCTCTTATTTTTGTTAATTCTCAGCTTCTGGAATGAGGATGCTCACAGTGTTTGCCAGGCCTGTTCTCAGTGAAACTCATCTTCAAAGACAGAGCTTTCCGGAACAGCCTCTCAACCTGAAACCCACGATGGGGCCTACGACTCGGGCAGGGCCTCTGGGCCCAGAACCCTCAGGCTGTGGGGACCACTGGCAGGGACGCCTGCAGTTGCCACTGCCTCTGATGTGAGACTCCTGCATGCAGGCCAGAGTGACCAGCTCAGACAGAGGCCCTTCAGAGCAAGTGGGGAGGCTCTGCCCACAGGAGACTCTGGGGGCCAAGTGGGGACTGAGTCATCCTCAAAACAGTGAAGAAGGTATCCAGAGGGTCACGGCTCAGACTGGACTGACGGGCACATGTTCCTGAAGTCACCACTGATGGCACTCACGTGGTGACGGTGTTGAAGCCGCAGGCCCTCAGCTTCAGCAGGCGGTCCCTCCAGTACTCCTTGGGCACCCGGAAGTAGTGGATGGTTCCCGCTAAGATGAGGGAAGGAAAGCCACCAAGTGTGAAGTTTGAGTCCTTAACTTTCAGGCCCAAGCGTCGGTCCTTCACCTGCGAGGGACTGAGGAAAACCCTGGAGGCCCTGCAAGGACAGAGACACATGACATCCTCCAGAGGCGACCCCGAGACTCACAGGATGGGCAACTCGGAAGGCCTCTCCTTCAGGGCCCCGGGCACAGTTCCAGCCCAGGCAGAAACTTCCCAACCCTTCCCTCCAAACGCACCTGCCCCAGGGGGCTCCGGTCAGCGCAGACGTTTCCAGTAGCCTTGACGTCAGGCCCAGGAGGACCACGAGTCTCACCAAGAGGGTCTGCATGCTAAACGAACAGGACAGAACAAAGGTCAGGCTCCCCCCAGGCAGGTAAGGCGGGGGGGCCTGAGCCAGGCCTGGGCCTTGGAGGATGGTGGGGAGGACAGAGGGGGCCCCCCCGGAAGGCAGAATTCTGCGCAGCCGTCTTTGGCTTCTGCGGCGCCTGGACTCTGACAGGCGCACCCCGAGGCCCTGTCTGCTGCCCGGAGCGGGACAGCTGCATGGACAGTCTCTGCTGAAGCACGGGGTTTTTGGACACCGGCTACCTAGTGAGAGAGGACCGAGCCTCCACGGAAGGTATATAAACACAGAATAATCTCTGGGAGATTCGCCAGAGATGGTCCAAGGCTGAGGAACAGCCTCTCACGACTGGTCTTCAGCAGAGAGAACACTGCCTGCAACGTGGAGGTCTCTCCTGCAGGGCCTCGTTTTTACCTCCAGCCCAGTCTCCCACTTCCCTGCTCTGAAGGCCCCACCGCTCCACTTCTCACCGTCCATGCGGCCCACGCTTTCCCTCGCGCTGCGGAGTGGAGCGCAGGGTG